ACAAGGGGCTAGGATTCAGCTCCTTACTCAGTGAGGCTTGCCAAGGAACTGAACCACCTGGAAAGTGAGAGAGGTGCGCCCTGCAATCTGTTTGGGTCATTACTAGAGTTCTGCCTCTCAAGCTTACGTCCACTTATCGTGTTCATTGTCTGGGTTGATCCTCAAACAGGATTTGATCCCATGCTTTGGTGAGGTGCGATTTGCCTCATTTGTGAATCATGAGACTGCGGCTTTAGAGTTGAACCTGACGTATTAACATTTGGCCCAGAATATGTGTGATAACTATTACTCCCATGCACGGAGAATGGATTCTGTGGAAAATTCAGATGCTGTTGCTTGTTAATTCCTTGTGGCGGAATTGAAGAACAACCTCTTTCTTGATTCACAGTGGTTGAACCGGAGGAAGAAATTTGACTACCTAGCATTCCAAAGCGTGAGTCTGATTGGCGACTAATCTCTTGAGACTTTTAAGCCTTGTTTTCACCGGGAAAATAACTTGAATTAGTCTGCATGGGGACTGCTGGAGAAGGGAGTTGAGTTGAATTGGCAGCAGAATTAGGACCCTTTTGGTGCAGCTGAGTTAATGAATGTGGTCCAGTGAACTGTGTGGCACCACCAACAGATGACATCCGGGGAGTATTTGGTCGTGCTCCAACATGGGACTGTGGCGGGGACTGATTGGAACTCATCTGAAATTACAGATATGGGGTTTTAGCTTGTGTTCAAAATTAACAAGCACTCAACTCAAGCATCAGTTTTTACTTTACTAACATGGGACATTTGAGCTCACCTGCACTTGTAACTTGTTAACTGCCAACCTCAGCATCTGGTCTCCTACAATATCTCTCATGTGCCTGACAAATCCGTCTTTTGCAATTTCATTTTTCTAACAGGAACAGCCAACAGAAAAATCAGGAGACATAGAAGTCCATTCTGTCTATTGTGACCATTACTAAATAATTACAATAGTTAAGCAAATGGGTTGATATTAGAAATCCACCTTTAGTTTATCATACAGAGTATGAAGCTGCATGGCTCTGTCTTTATCAAGTTGGGGCGATAAGGCAGGCAACAACACGGCAAATGGAACTTGTTTTCCTCGATGCACGGGATTATTTGGTTGCGCTGCTCCACTGGACTGTAGATCACTCATCTTCTGTAATTTTGCATATTGTGATTCACTGTCTTTATTGTTGGTTCTCTCAGGTTCAAGTGGGGTCGGACTTTTTTCAGTAGTCTGAATCCCAGTCATTTGAGAAACCTGGGGAGGAATTTGTTCAGTTACTCCTTTTTGACGAACATCTCGGGTTGTTTTTGTGGCGGTAGTAGACGATTATGTTCCTGTTGAACATCATTTGGCTGTTGAACTTGTTGCTAACTCCCCGCAACAACAGCTCCCTGTTGCTTTTGCTCCATCTCAGATGAAGTCTGATGTTGCTGCTGTGCACTTTGAAGGACTTGTTGATTTTGGAGGTTGATGTTTCCGTCTTGCCCAGGGATCGGCCATGATGCAGGATTGCTTCCTTGAGATAAAGATGCTGTATTTTTCAAAACGAGGACATACAATAACAAACATTCAATGAAATTCCGAGGAGAACCAATTCATAACCAACAATTGCAATTAACACAAATGCAAAGCTAATTACACTCTCTATTAAGAAATTCTAAACCTTAATTAACAAAAATAACTGAATTCCAATCTAATGATACTATTTATAAAATCAAATCTAGTCTATTAGTCTAGCAAATTAGAATGAAGACCGAAAACAAGGAAAGACTACCAGTACCGAACCAGAATGCTGAGAAGTCGGCGCATCGCCTTCAATATCTCGATTCAACGCGGCCTGGAAAGCCTCAACGTCAGCTCCAGAATGCATAGACTCGTCCTATTAACAGTGTTTTTTTAGGGAAAAAAACAAATTGGAAAACAGATTAAATAGCCTCCACATATTACGAATTCTATAGATATTGAAGAGAGTAAAAATAAAACCCAGAACAAAGAAAACCCTTGTCTTCTTCAAGGAGCTTTACTATGGAAGGGTCCATCACGAGCTATAAGGGCAACCGGCTTCCGTTGCCTCTGAATGGACGGCCTGTGAGCGGAAATCGTTCAACTTGCCGGATTGTAATTATGTATTGTAACTCAAATTAAAATTACACGAAAAAAGAACGATATTGAGAAGAATCACAAATTCACATGGGGGGAGTAGTTTTTAAATTGAATCGAACGGAGGAAAGTTTTTTTTTTTTTTTGAAGGAATAAGAGCTTATATTCCAATAGCATCATCAATTACAACTTGCTTAATACAATCAGATTCATCTAAAAAAAAATCAAACTGTATTGTTTTTCGATAAGGCTCCTTGAAATAGTGAATGGGCGACTCGGTTAGCTTCCCTACACACATAACGCACTTTAACAGAAGAAATGTTAGCTAAAATCTGTCTAGCATCATTGAGCAGCAATCCAATTGTAGAAATATCCTGTGATTTTTTAGTAACCTGATTAGACAATCTGTAAACAATCGAAATGGCATCGCCTTCGATAATTGCATTGTTTCAACCATTCTCGGAAGCCAATCGGATGTCCTCAGTAAAAACAATTGCTTCTGTGGACTCGGCCGAGAACGGAGGATTAATCTTCTTAGCCAATCCCCCAATAGTCATTCCCCCAATAATCATTCCATGCGAATCCCGAGCCACTATACCCACAGCCACAACTCGAGAATCCTTGCAATAAGCCCCATCAACATTAATTTTAACCTCATCCTGAGTCGGCTTAATCCAACAACGCGATCGATGAAGAATCACTTCGTCACTTTTACTCCCTAAAGAATTTGAAACAAATTTGTACTCCCCAATCAAATTCGAAGAGTTGATAATAATGTCCCTATCCGATTTTAGATCCCCATTATGAACAAAATAATTGTGCCGGTTCCAAAGATTCCAAAGCAAGGCAAGAAACAAATCAAAACCTTCACCATTCAGCTTTGACTGAACATATGACAACAATATGATAGAAGAGTTTCCCCTCCAGTCAACAATCTCAGAGGAAAGACCCGACATCAAAAGAACCGTCTTAACTTTAGGGCAATCTTTAATCGCGTGCATAACCGATTCCAGCTCGCAAAGACAAAGAGGGCAGATACCATCTCCAAGATTTGCTTGTTTAATTTTAGATCCAACGGGAATAGCTTCATGACAAATACGCCAACCAAAAATTCTGATTTTTGGGAGAACCTTCGCTTTAGCCACAGCGTTCCAAATACCATCCGCAACCATAAACGGACTATTTTGAATTTTCAACCAGTTATAGCCCGATTTAGCCGAGTAATACCCCGAACTATGATGACCCCATAACAATCTGTCCCCCCAGATCGGAGCTATCAACGTTTTAAGAACTTGCGAGGCATCTTTCGACCGAAGCACTCCGACCACCTTAGGCTCATCCCACCTTGCACACCCTGGAATCATAAAATCCGCAACTCTAACCGGTTGTTCTGTATGATCCATGTATCTCTCGTACCACCGAATAGGACTAGCGTCCCCCCAATTGTCCTCAAACATACGAGCCTTACTATCCAAACCCACTCTCCAGAAAAAACCATCCTTGAGAGCTTCTTTGGCCTTCATGAGACTTGCCCAAGTATAATAATTTTTAGCCCCAAGTTTTGCCTCAAAAAACGAAGAGCACGGAAAGTATTTCGCTTTAAGGACCTTGAAAGCCAGAGAATGTTAATCCCGAATAAGTCTCCAAATCTGATTCCCAAGAAGTGCAATATTAAACAATCTAAGATCCCTGAACCTCATTCCTCAAAAATTTTTGGATTGACAAATCTTATCCCATGCAACCATCGCCCAACCTCTGGAATTTTGTTTCCCGGACCACCAATAGGATCTAGCTTGCGACTTAATGTCATCAATAACTCCCTTCGACAGGAGATAATATGTCATAGCATAAGCGGGAAACGCCTGGACCACCGACTTGATGAAAACTTCTCGTCTTCCAAAAGAAAGGAGTCTCTTAGTCCATCCTTGAATCCTCTTCTCTAACTTATCTCTGATAAAGTTGAAAGCCACCCTTTTGCCTTTCCCAACTGCCAGAGGAAGACCAAGGTAATTCCCTGGATCCGTGGCCTCAACTACTCCTAACTCGCTCAAAAAGGTCCTCCTATCCACATTGGGGTATTAGGACTAAAATAAATGCTGGACTTCTCATAATTCACCTTCTGTCATGAAGCCTTCTCATATTGAGCTAGGATACTCTTTACTTTTCGCACTTCCGTAGCTGATTTTTTTACAAACAACATGCTATCATCTGCATACAACAAATGTGAAATCCTCGGCCCTCTCATGCTTGCTCTAATACCCTTAATCTCGTTCCTCCTTTGAGCCTTAAGGAGTAAGGCAGACAGACCCTGAGCGTAAAATAAAAACAAATATGGAGATAAGGGATCTCCTTGTCGGAGACCCCTCTGAGAAATGAAAGAATCAGATAACACGCCATTAATACGCACTTGAAAAGAGACCGTGGAAATACACTTTCGAATAAGATTGACAAAGGAATTACAAAAACCAATCCGAATCATAACATCCAACAAAAAACCCCATTCCACTCTATCATACGTTTTTTCCATATCTAACTTAATAGAAACGCCCTTACTAGGACCATTTTTAGACTCTTTAAGATAATGGATAAGTTCATAAGCCACAAGAAAATTGTCAGATATACGACGACCAGGGACAAAAACGCATTGGTTCTCGGCAACACAAGCATGCATCAAAGGTTTAAGACGATTTACTATAGCTTTTGACACAACTTTGTAGATGACCGAGCATAAGCTAATCGGTCTAAATTGCTTCATTAATTTCGGACTAGTAACCTTAGGGATAAGAACAATAATAGTACGATTAACATAATTAAAATCCATCGTACCATTCAAAAGGCCAAGACAAATATTAACAAAATCACATCCAACAATATTCCAAAAAGAACGGAAAAATTAACCTGGAAGGCCATCAAACCCAGGAGCTTTCGAGGGATTAACTTGGGAAAAAGCAATGGTGATCTCCTTGACAGCAAAGTCTCGGCAAAGCATCTCGTTATCACATGGCGAGACACAAGGATCAATGGCTTGAAAGATCTCCTCGTCAGGAGTCGCTTCGGAAGAACGAAAGAGAGAGGAAAAGTAGCTCGTAGCAACACCAAAAATGTCCTCCAACCTATCACACCAAACCCCTCCCTCACTTTCCAACCTCCCGATCCAATTCTTTTTGCGACTCCCATTGGCTCTTGCATGAAAAAAGGAAGAATTACGATCACCATCCTTAAGCCACGCCACTCGGGATCTTTGAAGCCAAAATATCTCATCTTTATCCATAACGTCCTTAAGATCCACCAGAGCTTTCCTCCGAAGTTCATAAAACTCATCCGTGATCGGGCCATAATCAAGCCTAAAAATAGAACCCCTTAAGCGCTTCTCATCCCTCTTGCCTTGACTTCTTCTCGATCTCTACCAGTCTCCTAGCGTAGACATTATCTTCCCCACTTTGACTGAGAAAGAGTCTTCATTGTTCTCCCAAACCCGATGCACAATATCCCGGCATTGATCTTCATTAGCCTAACACGTATCAAATTTGAAATAATCCCTCCTAGGCGAACTGTTCGTAATAGCACCCTCCAAGCTCAACAAGATCGCAGAATGATCGGACGACGCCATCGAAACCGTATCCACATAACACTCCTGGAACAGAAGCCTCCATTCAATCTTCGCAACAAATCTATCGATTCTCCCGCACACAAACGTCTTAGCGCAGGTACCACTAGCCCAAGAAAACCAACCACTCCTAGGTCTAATGTCCCACACATCGGCATCACGAAGACATCGCTGGAACTCCTCCATATGAACCCTTACCGGTTTCTGCCCTCATCTCTTCTCGTCCATATGAATAATTTCATTAAAGTCTCCTCCCAAGCACCAAGGAAGAGAAGAGGTAGAGGCCTAATGAGAAATCATCTCCCAGTTGTGCTTTTTATCCGACCACCCACTGCGCCCATAAAACCCCGTAAACCAGAATTTTTGCTCCTTCCAAAAAACCTCCACATCAATATGTAGATTATAGAAGCTCTGGAGCGAGACATCTAAACCTTCCTTCCAAAGCATCATTAATCCCACACAATGATCCGATCTTTCCACTGAAAAACAACCAGACATCTTTGTAGCCAATCTAATAGCATCCGTTTTATTTTTCCGCAACTTAGTTTCAGAAACAAAAACCAACATCGGGTCCTTTTCGGAGATCAGTCTCCTAAGCTCTCGAACTGTCGCGGGGTTTCCAAGCCCCCGACAATTCTAGGACAGAATCATCATGGCTCCTGGCGGGGCTGAACCTCAGCCACCGCCGTTAAAAAAACATCCCCTGCGCATTCCTCCAGAATCTCACTAGGGTCCTCCTCCTCACTAGTACCCACCTTTGAGTTCAAAATGGAGTCGAAAATATGCACCACTTGTCGATTCACTCGCTTAACTTTCCTCTTTCCCTTACTCGTCTCCCTAATCTTTCTCTTCCCCAAACTGAAAGAACCAACCTCAGCCCTCACACTCAATTCCCGGTTCGGTTGTTGCTCTTCTAACAAAACTCGGTCACGCGTAATGAAAACTTTCGGGAACGTCCGAGGAATGGAGCTATCAGGCCCGGTTGGATCAGTCGGGTCAGAATCGTCCTCGTGATTGGAGCTAGACGAGTACAACAAATCACGTCCTGGCATCCACGATCTTCCCTAGGGAGTCTTAGTTCCCCTTTCTGAAAGAGGGTTGTTCGTCGAGCTAGTCATTGACCTTTCATTGTTCTCCCCATCAACGTAGATAATTCATTCTTTCCTTTTGGTGCTACTTTCTTCGAGTCTCTTGATAGGTGACACTCTGAGCCATTCCCCGAATTGGAGTGGCTATTGCAATTGGTCCGAGAAGCTCGGACATTCCGTGAGGACATGACCAATAATTCTGCACCTATGACAAAACGAAGGCAGCCGTTCATACTTTAGTAGACACTTCCTCGGTTCACCATTCGCAAGCACTCCCATCTTAGCACATCTTCGCAACGGTTTGGTACAATCAATCTCCACTCTAACTCGAAGGTAATCGCCCATTCTTCCATCTCCAGGTCTTGTGTCAGTAGCAATAGTCTTCCCAATTCTATTGCCTATCTTTTCTGCAGTTTCAATTTTCATGTACCCCAAAGGGAGCTCGTAGATTCTCACCCACACTCCAAGGGGCCGAAAATCAAACTCTTCAAGACTCAAAGTAGGATCAAAGTGAGCAATAGCCAACATCATTCCTTCGAAACTCCATGGGGTACGTTTCATAATAGCTTGCTTACCCGAGAGCGTCTTGAACTTGAAAAGGAACATGTTATCCTTCAAGATGCTAGATTTCAAGAGTTTAGCATGACCCCAAATAGAACGAAAGACCTGCAACACCACTTCGCTATCAATTCTCTTGTAACCAATAATCCTCGCAACGATCCACTTATCCATTTCCATAACGTCATCATCAGTAATAACTCTTGGTGGAGATATGTCCTCAGACTCCTCCTTAGTGAATTTCAAGTGCTTCATTAAATCCGCAACCTCCTCTGACATTTTACTAGTAAAATGAACAATCGAAAAAGAAAGCCAAATGTCACTCCTACACCCTCTATTGGAAGACAATATTTCTATGGAATTACTTTGAAAAACAAAGAAGAAGGTATCAATATTTCTATTGATAGTATGAAAGGTACTTGCAACCTTCTCTCCCCTCAATCTATTATCCCAATTCCGTAACACACCCTTCCCAACTTGACAAAAATCTATCCGATGTGACTTTCTTCTCTTACACTCTTTGCCTACTCCAAATAGGCTTTTAAAATATCTCTCCATTATAATACTCAAATAAATTATATATGAGTGAACCATTTCCCCATAAACAGCTAATCGCCCACAATTTTTCCAGCAAGTAAGTCTGTCCGTACAGTGATCGCAGCAGACCGTATTGTAGCCGTCGCAATCTTCAAACTGCTCTGCCATACTTGACCTTGAACTCCTATCCCCTGCGATAACCCTGCCACTCCCACCTACTATTTGCACCGAGTAGTATATAGAGTAGACCAGTCCCCTGCCAATCCCATCTGCTGCCTGCACCGAGCAGTATACTGAGTGGCCCAGCCCCATGCCGCAATAAAGACCTTAGTAGGCCTATACTGAGTTGGATAATTTTGGATCGGTAAACTCGGTTCATGATGGATTTAAAAGCCCATTATGAGCTCATATTAGAGGGTTTTAAAAAAGCTGTGGGTTTAAATGAAATGCACGTCTTAAACTATAAATTTTAGGATAAAGTACAATTTCTCGACTATAGGGTATTGTTTTGTTGAGTTCCTCAATTATTAAAAGATAAAACGATCATTTAGTTATAGGACGTTGCTTTGTTGAGTCATCGACTATTAAATGTTACAAAATGTCACATGACTATTCATATATTTCAAACTCTTTTTTTCTTCTGTTAAAAAGTTGATAGTTGTCTGAGTTGGACGTTAACCTAATGATTGAGATATATGATTAAATCATATTTTAATGACGTCTACTGGCACCATCGTTATTTTCAAGCACTAACTCGATGATATAATGTTTCAAACTTTGACTCGATGGCATAATGTTTCAAGTATTGATTCGACGACATAATATAAACAAAGGCTCGATACACAAAATAAAACTCAAATAGTTTTGAGATTAGATTTTTATCATATCCCAATGATCAGGTTAACATTAAGTTCAGACGATCGTTAGTTTTTCGATTGTGATCTCTAAGGATTTCCAGATTGATCGATACGTCCTCAAATGTACATAAAATTTTAACCCACCAACATCAATATGTGGAAGAAAGATTGAGAGGCAAAGTGAAAGGAGGGGGAGAAGAACAGTAATCAATTCCAATCTCCATGAAAAGAATAACACACAGAAGAGTGATATGAATATTACACAATGTACAAGTAGAATTGCAATCAATAAAACCACAAGGGTTCCGAGATTGTTTGTTATAGTGTTTTCGGTTTCAATAAATCAATGTAACTAAAAGGCAGCAAGACATCGAAGTTACAACTAGAACAGCACTCTCCAATGTAACCCCAAAACGGCTCCTGGATTGTTAATTATACAATTTTGATTTCAACAAAATCAGTGTATGATAACTAACAAAAGGCAGCAGGATAGACCAAGTTCAGAAATCTTCATAACCTACTCAGATGGCAAAGTACCCGAAGTTTCCACCCTGAGCAACAAACATTAACCAGTCAATGGTGCATTTGGTTGTCAAACACTCGATCAACTTCACATGGAAGAAACTTTACTTCGGATAGCATTCGTTGCTTGTTTAATTGCTGAGTTCTTGCCTTGTTGGCAACTGAATTCGGTGATTTGTACATTCTCTGTATTAAAGAATCAGTCTTAATTTCATACCTTTCATGATGTCCAAATACAGTAATGAGGATAAACAAAAAAGGATTTGACCTTTCCAAAGTTGGATATATGTTCATCTGCTACAAGATTCCGCCTTTTCGCTGTGAACCCGAAAACATCTTGAAGGAATTCATTATTCTGCACAAAGAAACAATTATTTCTTATAATCCACATGAAAATTAAAAAAAAGACATGCAATTTGCATCAATAGATGTCAATCTCTGAAAGAGCATCAACCTGCATGTGATTAGTGAAACCTCCACCGAGAAAGCGCCTCAAAAAGTTCAACCGTTGGATTGAAATTTGAGAACACAATTATCAAAATCCATGGCATGTAACCAACATAAATTGGAGAATTAGAAGAGGAAGAGTAACCTGAATCAACTTGGACCGTGTTGATGTATGAAGTGTATCCTCACCGATCTTCATCGATGTCTCGGGAGAATAACCATACTGACATCACCAAGTGAATCAAAGTTCGCATGATTAGTCAGAAGAACCATACATAGGTGGGAATTAAAGATAAATACGAGTACCTCAAGGAACTCCAAAACATCCTTAAACAAACTCCTCTGGTTATTAATATCTTTCTTGGAAGAACCTTTACCACCAGCTTCCACAGAGAGGTCACGGGCTTGATTCAGAATTTTTTTCCTTCAATCCATGTTTATGGGAGAATCCTTCTTTTCATTTATTTCCTTCTGAAACTGAACCATCACATGAACCCTTAGCTTCACCTGCAAACTTCTCTAAGCTTCCCCTCTCAAAAATCAATGCCAGTGCTTCACCAGCAGCAATTCGCACGATCGGTCATCTTTATCTAGTAAACTAGACAAATATGTAACTGATCTGCAAAACATCTCGAGACTAGTTAGACTCTTAGCCCAATAAATTTTCACCTGTTTGTGTTGGTATATTATTGCAGGACCGAAATTGATACAAAGTTCATTGACCTATTATCAGCTTTAAGGGGTGGTAAAGACAATAAATTATCAGATTAAAAAAATGGAAAACGTATGATCTAGAGAGGTCACTAACTCTTGCCACAGTTTAGGACTGAGTCTCCATCCATCCATGGTTGTCAAGAGAAATGACCAGTAGACACAGCCGCTGTTATGACAGCATCAGTTGGTTTGACAGTAATAACCTACAAGTCAAACAAATCTTCAAATAAAGCAAACATCGTGTGTTTCGACATTAACAAGTTGCAAGCAATAACTAATTTGTGAACTTCGAATAAATTTATCAGATGCCTTTCAGTTAGTGGAACTCAGGCATGTATACTTCCGTTAGAACTTAATTCCGGATGAACTAATTTCTGCATAATTTGCATTGAATTTTCTATTTTCTCAGGATCATTCTCCCCAAAAAAAGTGATGACAGCCAGACAATTGAGTAACTTAATTC